GTTTTGCAGTGTTATTTAACTGCTATTTCCAGCAAATCAAAGGCATTATAGTGAGAAATTTCTAGTTGAAATAGGTGTCATGATATCAAAGCAGCTCGGTTAATGGCATTGGTGGGAGACAAATAGGTGAGACAACAGTTATCAGATACCCCTTCTACATTTAAAAGTGCTCATGATTAATTACTTTGGAATGGAACACTTTCCTTGAAGACACCTTCTGCTTTGGTTTCATGAAAGCATGCTACAATCAGCTAACTCACTCTCCTGCTCTGGAAGAGCAGGGGCCATGTGAACCTAGATCTTTGTACTAGGTCCGACGCCAAAATTTTTCACTCCAGTTCCATCCATGACGGCATTCAAACAGTGAAAATCGTGAGGATCCTGCCATTAGCTATGTAAAACATCCCATCTCTGGAGACAAAATGCTTTACACATACTTAACAGCCACCATTTATCTGCAGTGCATGAACTTCTAGCTCTGGATTGACAAGGGTAGGCAATGCCGGGATAGGCGAACACCTTGTCCACAATATAAGCTATATCCTCAGGTCAGCCAAGAATAAGGACTTGAGTGCCCTGGATCCTCTGAAAGGGATTCTTCAAAGAGGATCAAGCCATCCCCGCCAAACCCTGTGAACCAGATGTAGCTGGCCCTGGTGTAAGACTTGGACATTCCTTGCTAATAGAGGACCCTTTGCTCATGATTCAGGTCTAGACTCATCAGCAGAGCCATCACTCTGCGCCATTGGATCAAATACTGGAATACGAAATTCTAAAGTGCTCAGTTATATGGGTGAGTATATTGGAAATAAAGGTCTACCCAAAACAAATTCAATACACCTAAATAGATCACACCACCAGATCGGGTCTGGTGAGTGCTACTTTTGTTTAACAGTGGCTTCAGGTATGAAAACTCAGTTTGCAAACAGCTGATTGCTGAAAGAAATGTTTGCCATTTATGAGCTTGGGTAATCAGCCGTCCTCCTGCCTTGAAACTTCACTGCCTGAAAGCGTTCCTGATGGACCACTTTACTGCCTGGACCCTGTCTTCATCTTTTGGATTCACAACCAAGAATTGAGTTTTTATTCTCCAGTTTATCACTGGCTGTGAGATACACTGTTTGGAATTAACTTCAGACCACAGAACTACATTTTGCCTGATCCAGGACAACATATTGTAGGACCTGATCTCATGGAATATTCCTTCTACTCTCCAGAGAGAGAGAAATCACTGTTGCTCTCCACCTATCCATCCATCCATCCATCCATCCACCCATTTATCTAATCAACTTTTAGCCACCTCAATCACTGTAGCAAAGCTAGATGATGTACCACAATATAATAAAACAATTAAAAACTACAAAAGAAAAATATTCCAATCATAAGAATAAAAATATTAGCAACCCAAGCCAACGGAAACCACAACACAAATTAAGCAACATACAGACTAGGCATCACAAGGAGGGGGGACAAATCACTTTGCCCCCAAAAAAGCCAGGTCCTAAAGGACAACAGATGTGGGGTCACGCAAACTCTCAGGGAAATACTAATCCAGAGGGCAGGGGCAGCCACAGCCTGTCACCAAGAGCACATAAGATGGCATTGCTTCAACCATTGGACCTGGAGCATGCCAGCCCTGCCAGATCTTACTTGGATGGGCAGAAACAATCAGAGAAAGATAGATACTTGGGGATCTACTCTAAGCCATGAAGGGCTTCATAGAAGACAACCAGGACCTTGAATTGCACCCAGAAGACAACCAATAACCAGCACAGGTCATGACATAGAAGTGCCACATGTGTAAAATGAAGTGTGTCTTTAACCACTTGTGCCACTGCGTTCTGGACCATCTGTAGCTTCCAAGTGGTCTTCAAGGGCAGCCCCTTGTACAGCACATTGGAGTAACCTAAACCACAGGTAACTAAGGTAAGAGTGACTGTGGAAAAAGCCTCCCAATCCAGGAAAGAGCATAACTGGTGCACCAGATGAATCTGTGCAAAGGCCTTTCTGGCCACAGCTGCCATTTCTCTGAGCAAGAGCTGAGTCTCCAGAAGCACCCCCAAATTGTTCACAAGTTCTGCCTGGAAAAGTACAACCTCCACTGAGAACTAAAATCAGACAATCCCTGGAAAGAGAAAATCCTTGAATCCACAGCCACTCAGTCTTGCCAGGGTCGAGACTGAGCCTGCTTCTCTTTACCAGACCCTGATAACCTCAGAATAGGGCTTCAACAGCATTGCCTGTTGGGTCTAAGGTCAGCATATACAGCTGGGTGTCATCTGCATGTTGATGGAATCTGGTGCATGCCATCAGATGATCTCACCCAATGGCTTCATGTAGATGTTAAATACAAGTGGGGAGAGTGTGAACGGCTTCAGCCTTAATCTCTCCCCTCTTACCAATACCAACTGGAATTGACTCCAGAAAAGGAAGAGAATCCTTGTAAAATAGCGCCCCCCCCCCAGCTTGGAGATGGTCTATCATCAATAGTATCAAAGGTTGCTGAGAGATCAATCACCCAGTTGACTCTAGGACCAATACAGTTATAGGACCCTTATCCTAGTCCTGCCAGAGGTCATCTGCAAGCGTGATGAATGCTGTTTCAGTACTATACCTAGGGCTGAAAACCTACTGAAAAGAACCAGATAATCCAGTTCCTCTAGGACCTGTGGAATTGCAGCCCCACCACCTTCTCCATCATGTTCCTCCAAAAAGGGCAGTTGGAGACCAGCCAAAAATTATCCAAGATTCTTGGGTTAAGAGATGGCTTCTTGAGGAGGGTCATAGCACCACCTCCTTCAAGGCAGATGGACCACCTGTCACTCAAGGATGAATTTACCACACCTGAATACAGATGCAAGTCATTCCCGGGTGGCCTTGACCAACCAGGAGGGGCAAGGATGTAATATACAGTTCGTGGCACTAAAAACTCTGGGAGTCTTGTCCAATTCCTTGAGATTCACAGCTCATACTCTTCCCAGATACAACAGACTAAGACCATTCCTCAGCCAGCTCAGATGGACCTCTGCCAGCCAGAGTCCAACTCAGACTCAAGAACTTTTATCCATCAGATGCTTAAAATATTCCTCACAGCAAATATAATTCGGCTTGTGTCTTAGTGTGTCTTGGTCAGAGAGGAAGGTCTAAGAAAGTAGCTTGGGTTTTTTTGCAAGAATATAGGTGTAATATCTATCAAAAATCTTTAGTTCAAAGACTTTTGGAAGAGTTAAGTTCAAAGCACAGATCCTCTTGTAGGGCTACCAAATCTGGCCTGAAAATCCAGATGGCAACAGAGAGTTTTCTGTACCTCAGTGCTATCATCTAATAGTAATCTTGGTCTTTGCATCCAGATCTGGCAAATTTACTTCTGGCCTATCTGTTGGTACACAAATCTTACAAGCCTTCTACACTGTCATGCTCTAGGAGAGATGTACATTTACTGTATTTTTCAGGATAGCCTTTGAGTGTGCACCAGAGATAGTTCTCCAGAACATAGATGGGGTCAGGACAAAAAACTGAATTTAAATTCCTGTAATTCACATTTGAAGTAATTCAGTACTGTCAATACCATGATTACTTCACACATCTGAAAATAAATTGATCCTCAAAGAATTCTTGTGAGACACCTGAGTTGGAAAAACACTCCTAGAGCATTTTGTTGAGGAGAGGCCGAGATAGCCGGTGACACTGTCCACCAAAAGAAACATGCTGGCTGGCATTCTCTATTAAACTACACCATCTGGTGGTCAGAGTAAGAAGATGCTGCCTTAACATCTGCCCAAAAGGTGCCTCATTTGGGCACAGAAAACAACTGGAAGAGAAAGATTCTCTAGAGACTCTCCCTCCCTTTCCCACCACCTCCACAGCTTCCGTTTCTGTTGGTGAGGACACCTGACAGGGCCAGGAGCAACAGTTGGTGGAAAGGAACTTGTTTTGCTGATAGAATCTCATAGCAGCAGCAGATGGTTGAAGACACTTTCTGGTGGAGTCCCCCAAAGTGCCTGCGCAGTATTGTATCTGCTCACCTTCTCTGCTTTCCTTCCTGTTAAGGATGTCCTGTAGTAGATCTTTTCCCATGATGGAAACAGAAAAGACCATGAAAAGAATTCTGAAAAAAGGTCTGTTTTGCAGAAAGAGAAAGGAGCTAGAAGAAAGATTCTTAGACAAGTAAGGTGACGAGAAAAAGAGGGAGGCCTGCAGAAGCCGGTCTATAGCTTGGTCCTGGGTGAAAAGGAGGAAAGCAATGGGTGGCTTGCATGACTGCTGCCCATCTTCAGCACCAGAAAATCAAACCACTATTGGAAATCTATCTTATACCTTCCCTACCCTTGGCCAAGATTAGTTGTCGAAAGCCACTGGGGCAACTTGCCAATATGCTGTATCACTAGATCTTCGTTCTACGTCCAGCCTGTCACTCACAGAGCTATGTATAGGTTGACTGACAGGAGGGGCAGGAGGTGGGGGAGACCTAGCGCTTCTAAACAGGAGATTGAATGTGAGAAACCTCAACTCTTCCCAAAGCAATTATTTGGCATTTCCTTAACAATACTAGCAACCAATTAGAAGTCTTCAAACAAAGGCTGGACATCATCTGTCAAAGATAGTCTAGTGCAGTGTTTCTCAACCTTGGCAACTTTAAGATGTGTGGACTTCAGTTCCCAGAATTTTCCAGTTAGCATTAGGTTGAGAAACCCTGGTTTACTGCATCCTATGCTGAGATGCGGGTTGGACTAGACCAGTGTTTCTCAACCTTGGCAACTTTAAGATGTGTGGACTTCAACTCCCAGCATGCTGGCTGGGGAATTCTGGGAGCTGAAGTCCATACATCTTAAAGTAAGACTAAATTATCTCAAAGCCCTCTTCCACCTCTGCAATTCTATTCAGGAAAACAGCTATTCCAACTTTTTCCTTACCTCAGCACAGACAAAGAAAGCTTTTAAAAAAAACTCCGACCCCACAATCTTACAAAATAAAACCTTTATTTGCATTGAACTCTTTGGAATGCTTTCTTAGCATGAAAATAAATGTTAGGCAGAGTTGTGTCTTCTGTTCAGACAACAACTCCAACCCCAATGGAATTCTCATTTTCCTGAGGGAATCTGCCTCTTGCCCACATGCTTATTCAAGTCATCAGCATATAACACCACAGCAGTGAAACAATCGGACTCTTTCTCTGCTCAGGATGTTACCAAATGCCCATTTCCGTTACCACCATGGAGGATGCTCATTTTAAGTCTTGAGCTGACAATGGCTGCTGGTGAGCCAATGAGCGAAGGGTTGTTGCAACCACGGTATGAGATGGGCATACTAGGATCCAGGCAATTTCCAGTATCTAAATGAACCTCCCCACCCGATAAACCCCACAATTTAAACCTAAATCTACCCAAGTCTCTGAGAACTATAAGGAATAAATATGGAAGCAGGCAAGACAGTAATAAAACCTCCTTCACCTGCAGCTTATTCCACCCCTATTCCCACCTCTTTTGCTCTCAAACCTGAACTGTCCCTATTTTGCTGCTTCAAACTGCCACCATCACGTCTGCCTTCACCCTAAGACCCCCTTCCAAGCCCCTCACCACTAGTGAGCTGGCAATCACTGGGCTAGGCAGTCAACATCTGCCTCACTGTATCAAGGGGTGAGGGTAGCTGGACCCCTTCTCCAGATTTGGAGCCAGCTGGAGCATCCTAGCAAAATTGTCCTTGCCTTGCCTTTCTTGGGGGTCTTTCACTGAAATCACCTCTCGAGAGCCTGCAAAACCAGTATCTGTGCTCCTGATGTGCAGTTCACCCCAAGCACATCCCAAGTCCAGATCAAAAGATGAATATCATAGGAGTAACAAACATTAAAAAAAAAAATAGCAAGTATAAAGTGATCCACCTCCTAAACTCCAGGCCATTTTAGGGTACCATATGTTTTGAGGGAGGGCAACTGGCACATGAGCAACCTCCATGCTTATCCGTCATTTCTCTTTGGTTTTACTGGACCTTTGTAAACTGCTCAGGATTAATTCTGACAGGAGATTCCTCTCCCCAGCTCATTCAGTCTAAGGTCAGATGTATTACATAATACGCAGCTCTTGAAAATGGTGTGAAGTCTTCTCAGATAATGCTGAACTATTTTCCCCAATGATTACATTATTTGAGCACATTTTGTTTCTTGCAAGAACTCTCTGTTAAGACCACAACTCTAGAAAGGGCCGTAGCTATCCCTTGAAAGTAGACGAGAGAATCTCAAGTTGGTCATATGTAGCATCATCTTGCTGAACTGGAAACAACTCTATTCCTGCTGGAATCTGAGACAACGCAGAGGCTATTTCCTGTGTAAGAAGATTAAATGGTTGAGGTTCCTGATTTTGAGTGTTGGACTGCAGCTGTGTCACATGCTGGATGAGAGATAACGTTTCCTGCACAGATGAGTTATGTTCTCCAATAGTGTTGGTGCAAGGAATCTGGGGTGAAAGTTGAACCTGACACTCTTCAAAAGGTGCCACAGCTTCAGCACAAAGGACATTCGGTAAAAGTAGGTCTTCAAAAGTGTTTATCCCTTGGGCTCCGTGTGCATGAGTTCCATGTTGATCTGGACATAAAACCTCAGAAGGTGAAAGAAGTCCAAGCATGCTACAGAAATCTGATGGATAAGGATCAATGCAAAACTGTACCTCTTCCCCACTCTTACATGGCTGTGCTCCCAAAATTTCCAGAGTCAAATTGTCCAATTGTTCTCCAGTTGAAGCAGAACCTGTTGCTGAATGGAAAGTATCACCCAAAGAAGGTTGATTGACTTCATCTCTTGCATCTTGGTAGCAGGAAGAGGAAGGCACTCTATAAATTATATCTCTTTTGAACTGTTCTATGAGGCCAAGAAGAGTATCAACTGTGAGCCCCTCTTGCTTCGGAAGGTTTGTCAGACCTTCCCCAGAGTAAAGTCCTTCTTTGGACAGATGCTGTGGTGTCTGTTCCTGATCAACATCTACCTGTAAATGTGAAGGGACAGTTTCTGTGCCGTCCTTAGAAGTGACTCTCTTCCTCTTGGCTTTTGGTAGAAGATCATGACTTGTCTTCAAAGTGTCTAGACAAGTTCTTCTGGGCAAAATCAGCCCTAATAACAAAGATGGGTGGCATCGATCCAGCCCTGTTGAAAGAAACAAAGTCATGGAATTAAAAGGACATGCCCAGCGACAACATCACAAGAGTCTCAACTGTTTTTAAAATAAGTGCTTTCTCTTCCCTGGTTGCCAATATTGTAAAGAATGAAGTTAGTGGGGCAGGGACCTATGGTTCTCAAGCCAGGGAGCATCATGATGTCAACACTAAGCATGTCCCTCCCAGTCATAAGGGTGTGAAGAGAACAGCCAATTTTCTGTTGTCTTTCTTCAGGAAGTAAAAGCTTAGAAATTGCATCTGGAGCACTGGCATATGTAC